GGATTTTTGAGGCAGGTACCTGGGTATGAAGCAACATCTCTAGTCAAGATGTGGAAGCAAAATTTTGAATAAGAAATGAGCCGCCATAATGAATAAAAAAATGAAAGAGATCGAGTGAATTTTCAAAATTTTATGAGTACAGTGCCTAGACGGTGAAAAGTGGCTGCTTATTTTGGATTCCAGAGCTCCAAACCACAAATTTTAAATCATGAGACTGGGTCAGGTGGTGCATAATAGGTCCAAAAAAATGAATATGAAATAATAAAAGCAAAAAATAAAGTTTGAAAATTTGTGAAAGATAAAAAATAAACTTGATTTTTTTCAAAAGCTTTGATATTCATTTTGGGGGAGTGAGAGTGCTGAGGGAAAGAAAGAATGGAATGTGGGAAGAATGATTATAAATGAAGAAAATTGGAACCAAAAAAGGTTTGGCCAGGTTGGTGGTCCACATTGGAGCCAAAACAGTAAATTCTAGTGCTTTGCTGCAATGTGGGCTGGTGAATGCCCCACTCAACAGCTGTTTGAGGCCATCTGAAATCCAGTTTTCCAAAATTTTCATTTATGATCATTCTTCTCATTTCCCAATCTTTCTTTCTCTCAGCACTCCCACTCCACCAAAATGAATATCAAAGCTTTTGAAAAAAATCAATTTTATTTTTCATTTTTCACAAATTTTGAAACTTTATTTTTTGCTTTTATTATTTCATATTCATTTTTTTGGACCTATTATGCACCACCTGACCAAGTCTCATGATTTAAAATTTGTGTTTTGGAGCTCTGGAATCCAAAATAAGCAGCCACTTTTCACTGTCTAGGCACTGTACAAGATTTAAAACTTCCATCATGAAGTTAAAATCTTCATATCTACATATAACTAAAAAAGTAGGCTCAGAGAGCCAAACAAAGTGTCATGCAATCTAACACTGGTTTTAAACTCCAATTCACCTTTGTTGATGCCAATGTTATACTGAGGAGACAGTTGTCTGATTCAAGCAACACCTCCAAAAGGGACAAAAGTTCATTGAGTAACCCCCCCCCCCCAAAAAAAAAGGTCACCACCAAGCCCAACTAAAATTGGAAGAAAATCCTAGTTTATGATGAGAAATGTTACAGATCATGATGTAGCTTTGGCCGTTCAACAGAATCCCTGAATTTGATCCAGCTGCAATGACACTGCACTGGAATCCCTCCCAATAGGCTTCAACTCAAGTTCTTTTAGATCAGATCAGCCTGTGAATTTCTTTTCAGAAAATCCTTTCAGTCAAGCAGGTAGTTATCCCTGCTCTTGTGGAAAGTATTCATCTTGGCAAAAAATGTTTGAGATTGCATACTCTGAGTCCTGGGACAAGTAGAAGCAAATTTCAACGGTGGGCCGCTATGCTACACTACGCTAAAGGGCCACTTAGTGTTAGTGTAGCGGCCCTAAAAGGGCCCCTTTTTTCTTTAGTGTTAGTGTGCTGCTCCCGCCTCTACGCTACACTACACTGTAGCGCCACTAAAAGGTGGCTTTTTTCTGGGTAGTGTTAGCACACTGCTACAGCCGCTACGCTGTGTTACGCTGTGCTACAGCGCTTTTATCGGCCAAAAAGGCAAAAAACTGGCTAACATTTTGGGATTGGCACTAAAAATCCAGCTTCTGTGTACACCATTTCCAGCAGGGTCAATTTCTAACTTAAATATTGGAAATTGACCTCAAAATTTGGGCTGTGGTACAGGCCCTAAAAGAAATCATAATGCTAGAAGCTGTTCAGGAGTGGGGCATGGCCCTGTTTGGACCTAATTATTTTTCATTATTTCACCTCTCATTTTAAAAGAGAGAAACTCAAAAGCATTTCAAAAAAAAAGTGCACACTCAGTCTGTCACAGCAACACTTTGTGGGGATATCCATATCATCACCTCCAGGGATCAAACAGAAAAGTGAAATCTCCAGCTAGAGTAGTGATGAAGATGGTTGTGAAAATTGTATTAAATCTTGTCAATCCTAGCCCAGTTGAGAAATGAATATAGTTGCAGTAGTTAGTTTTGTCATAGAAGCCATTTCAGTTAGGGGATGGCCCCAAACCTTGGGATTCTGGGGCTGCCCCGGTCCCGAGCCCCGGGTTTCAGGAAATGGGATGGGCTTCACAAAACCCCAAAACCCCGGGGTTTATTGTTTATAGGGAATTTCCCTGATTTTTCCTTGTTTTGACGCGTAAACAGTTTTTTTTTTATTTTCACATGTGGGATTCATTGAAAAAGAAAAAAAAGGTTGCAATGAGCCATCAAAGTCCAAAAAAAAAAACCAATCCCAACACATCACTTATGGTTGAGATAGGTAGGTAGTGCTGGGCCATAGTGCCATCATTGATTCAGAAAAAAAAATTGTAGGAAGCCCCGGGGCTTTGGGGCAGACCCGGAATTCCCGGGGTTTGCTCCTTGGGATGACCCTCTGGCCCCATCCTGAGCCCTGGGATAATCCCTCACCATTTTTAGTGTTGAGTTGGTTATCCAGGAGTTCCTGGTTCCACAAGGTTGCTAGCCATTGTCACCGGGATTACCGCAGTGCTGGCCGGGTAGGGTTGACTATGGAAGCCCAGAGACGACACTGACTGCGCCATCGCGCCATCGCACCATCGCACCAAATAATAGAATTTTTGACGGATCCTTCAAAAAATTTCCCACACATGCATGATCCCTTTTGTGCAAAACACTATCTACATACATAGCAATATCACCAGCCCCCTCCGACCCCCTCCGGTGCTCCTGTTATAACACCCGCTGGTGAAAAAGTACCCCATCCAAAGGTATTGACACCGTATTGTTGCTCCGTCCAATGACTGGTCCTCAACAGCCTTTGGATGGTGTGTGTATGTACCGGCAAAAACCAGTCATTGGGTGGAGTATAGTCCACCAGATGACTGGTCTTGACCGGTTGTCAGGCGGAGGGCACCCCCAGCTCTCCGGCCATCGATTGGAGTGTGCACTCTACCCGATGACCGGTAAAGGCTAGTCATCGACTGTATGTACTCCAGCTGATGACCGGTCTTTACCGACATCAGATGGAGTGGAGTATGTGTACTCCACTCAATAGGTATATGTACTATTCAATCAGGATTGGTAGAGACAATATCACCGATATCGGTCATTGGGCCCGATGACAGGCTGTGGGAATATGTAATTCACTTGATGATCGGTAAAGACCGGTCATCGGGTGGAGTATATGTACTCAATCCGATGCCGAGAGCGACCGACCATTGGGTGGAGTGTGTGCTCCACTCAATGGCCAATACACACCCCATCTGGTGTCGGTCAACACTGGCTGTAGTGCACCCCCTCAGTGACTAGTCTTTACCGGTCATCAGCGGAGTACACACTCCAATTGATGGCTGGTAAAAAGATTGGTCAATGGGGTGTACTCTGTTTGACGACCGGTCAAGACCAGTCATCTGGTGGAGTCTATACTCCAACCCTTGACTGGCTTTTTGCTGGTCATCGGAGTGTGTCTGTTGACGTCTGGAGATCGGATGTAGAAAAACTCCCTTAGATGAGTAGTTTTTCACGGTCCGGGTGTTTGGATGGGGGGACGGGGCCTCCTTCCGCTCAGCGCAATGTGACCGGAGTGGTTTACTACTACAACCGGGGGGGCAGGGAATTAGTTAAGTTGGGGTAGGATGATGTGTTGCACTGTGCGAATTCCTCTGGAGGATCGGTCAAAAAAAGCAAAAGTGGGAAAATTTTTAAAGGATCCGTCAGAAATACTATTGTTTGGCGCGATGGCGCAATGGCGCGGTCGGTGTTGTCTATGGGCTTCCGTAGTTGACAGCGCCATAGGGTGGGGCACGCCAAAGTGCGCCTGCCCCCCGTGCGCGCACCCAGGTCCCCGAAGATCCTGAAAATGGGGGTCGGTGCGCACCTGACTCTTAACCCTACTTTTGAAGGACCCCTGAGATATCTTGGACCGGATCCAGCCGGATCACACTGGATTCAATTTCTTATGGATTTAGAATTTCCCATCTCAGTCTCTCACCACTTGGGATTATGCAGTTATGGCCTCTGACACAAGCACTATGCATTGTAGCAGAGGTCTTGCCTCTACAAAAAAAAAAAACTTTGAACCTTGATTTTTGAGCTTTTTTGACGGCGCCCAGCTCGCCGGGGCGCCGCCAGCCAAAGGCGCCATGCTCCGCCAGTTTGACAGGCGCCCCTAGGCGCGCACCTCTTGAAAAGGTGGCGTCGTCAACCCTATATAGCCGGGATGTGTTTCTTACAAGTCCAATCGGTGCCTTAAACGCCTTAAAAAGTTAAACCGTAAGCCCCGATATTCAACACCCGCAGAGCTTCACAAGTGAGGGCCCGACTGGCCTCAGCAGTGACAGATCTATGGACACATGACACCATGCCGATGTGGTGCATAGTCTTGCGGTCTATCGATTATTGAGGGTTCGTACCGGTTCGAACGGGATCCCGGAGTTTACAAATGTGCCGAAGGCTGTCAAGACTCAAAAGAAGTCGAAACCCACTCGCAGCTCTTCATGAAACTGTTTTTCATCGCGAGACTGCGGGTGCATGTACGTAAATCGTTTTTACTGATGTCCCGAGCGATTCAATGTTCATCTTCCTCGGCGAGTCGGTCGAGTCGACTTGGACGGCCCAACGGAATGTCAACAGATCACATAAACCCCGGCCGGCCGGTGCGAGGCGCAGCGGTTTGCTATCGTAGGATAGTATGCTCCCGTCAAGATTCGGGATTCAGTCGAAAAGACAGTAGTGCGAAAGTAGAATTTGAAATTTGCGACAGTTTGAACTCTGGTAATCTTTGCAGTCAGTTTAGCAAGTCAGACTAGATCTACGTAATCACATGTGTTGCATATTGATGGAAGTTCAGAAGTGCAGATACAGTCAAAAGGAGTTGTTCAGAGTTGTTCATGAAGCAAACTGATTTGATTTTTGAATATGTATGGATTCCACTCCGCGTTCCGGCTATGGAATTCAAGAAAGAGATTTCAAGTTTGTTATGCGATGTTCCCTTTCAGTGAGAATTTGAATGACGCAAGAATCGTCTTGGTATTCTGGAAGTGTGATCCCGTTTGACTACGCAGGCTGATAGTTAATCATTGAAGTCCTTCAAGCGGTTGCTACTTCCCTTGACAGGCAGTTGCTCTCTCCTCATACCATCTTCCCCCATTTCTCCCAGGAGCTTTTACGAAGTTCTCCCTCCCACTGCCTCATCTTTATCTGGCTCGGTACTTCCATCTTCCCTATTCCCATAGAGTGAACAATAAACATTTGTAGAGTGTGACCCATTCCTCCAAAGCCACGGTTAGCTTTTGCTTGGCAACCTAGCAAGCCTCTGTCTGCTCACTACGCACTTCTCTCCAACCTCAATACCGAATTCCCGAGGGAAACTCAGGATTGTTCTAGGCAACTCTAGCCGTAAGTCGATCCAGTCTCTTTCATCTTCCACACACCGTATGGGGACTCGTCGCTAACCTCTGGTGCGGCTTTGGCAGTAAGTGCTCTGCATAACCCGTCTACAAAGTAAGTTTGCATACTTTTGGGATATGTCTCTTGAAGTGTGATATCCTAGGCAGATCATTTATCCAGGCCTAATCATACCCATTCTCTACTGCTTGTCGGTTGCCATACAGATCGTAATTTAACTCATCAGAGATAGCCAACCCAATATCTCTTTGCTTGTTTTTTCGCTTGTCTTTCAATTCTTCAACGCGCATCCCGACCGCTTCTCAAGGCCGTCTATCCACTCAGTGCTTCATCTTGATTTGTTGGCTACAATTTCTTTGCTTCGTGTCTCTTGTTTCCTCAGAACTTTCAGTTTCATCATGGTACGTGCTCGCTCCTTGATTCCCCTTGGCTGACGTCTACCGCGACCTACGAGCTGATATTGATTCTCCCTCAATCCGAACTTGCATTCAAGGTCTCGCATTCCTCGATTCCTCCGAAGTCTTCGGCGGCCCATCGAGCCCTTGGTGTGCCAGTGCAAGAAGAGCTTCTCAATCTCTCATCGGCAGCCCGTAGTCGGCTCTATGTGACCTCATCAGGGGGCATTGGAAACGTGAATACGCCTGATTCGACCAACCAGAACCCTCACAGAGGATCTCTCAATCCTCTGTCGCCCGGAAACGTTCTCAAGCTTCCTTGGAAGAAAAACAAGCGCGTTCCTGTCAAGGGCTCGTTATACATTTCCCCGTCTTCACCCGAGTCCTCACAGTCGGATTGTGCGACTTGGCAAAGTACCACCGACTCCCGTAGTGACGAAAACCACTCGTCAATCAGCTCCACGGGCGCGCATTCATCAAGAATCCTTGACGCAGTTTCCCTGTGGAATCTTAAGACTCCCTCTGAGTCTAAATTCCCGCCACCTGTTCAGCCCTTCTCACCCCCTCCTGCTGTACCCCTCAGAAATCACCAGTCTATGGAAATTATTAAAGCCAACTCAGACCTGGGTCCCAGCGGTAGCCGGTCTCCCTTGTGCTCACCGTCAGCCTACAACGCGTCTTCTTCCCTGCGGTCACTATCGATCCCTCCTTCTCACGAACAAACCTCTTCTGGCCAATTCGGCGAAAGGATCTCATCAAAACCGCGCGACGATGGGTTGAGAGGCCCGGGCTTTCACCCTGATTACTTCTCGCAGTCGGCTCAGTCTACAGAGGCTTCCACCGCAACTACACAATCGAAAGATACCCTTTGGGACGCTCAGCCTGAGAAGTCATTGACCAACATCCGGTTCGCCGATCACTTGGCGAATGTGAAAATTGCCGTCAGTCTTGCATTTTTTTTATTCAGTTCATGTTCCGAAGTGCTCGAGTCTCACCGGTTCGTTTTCTCAACTTACAGGAAGCACAAACTATGCGAAACTTGTTATCCCCGTCGCCACACCTTCGCCAAAACGGGCCAGGTCCCAAGCTTAATGGGTCTTGCCCTAGTAGAGCCATGAGCGTTGATATCTCAAGTCGACTTAAACCGTCCGGAAGTCTGAAAAAATATCCCGATCCGCCCGCCAAAGCTCAGTTTCCTGCTCTCGTCTCACGATCCGATGAGGCTGGTCCGCCCGTCCGCGTCAATGAAGTAGTTCCTCGCGCAAGCGTGGCCAAAAGATCTCAAAGTCAAGACGCTCCATCGCGATCCCCTCTCTCCTTGATCCACAATCTTGATGGTGCTGGTGGTTGGAGTAGCCTTCGTTCGTCACTGGATGTAAACAATGGACCTCCCAGCAACGCGCCTGTTTCATTTTCCGATTTGGTTGTTGATCCAGATGGCTTCTTGGTAGTAATGTCGCCGGCTTCTCGTTCGGCCACTCCACAAACCGAGAAGAAGGCCTCTGTTGACGAGGGACGGACCCCAATCAATTCGTCACCCCCAACTTCTCCTATGAAATACTTGGACCTCATCAATTCAGCTGCCGTGAGCGCTGGGACCAAAGCAAGAGGCCGAAGGCGCACTCAGGTTGAGGGCATTACAACGGAAAATGCTTCAGAAACAGGGCACAACGCGACTAGTCATACGAGGATGAACAGCAGTTGTAGCCTTGAGAGTAGCTGCTGTAGTCATGATAGCAATGCCAGTAGTGGTGGGGTTGATCATAAATCCTATCCATCTGGTTCTTCCGCTACCTCCTCCATGCGGTCCTCGGTCGGGGGTAAGGAAGAAGAGCGCCCTTCCCCGCCCAACCGTCGATCCAGTACAGATCAACTCAGCCCGACTGAAGACATGTCAGATTCCTTAGAACTTGAGGACGAGCTTGAAGGTGTCAAACTCATGATCGGTTCTAGAGCAGTTTGCCCCAAGTTTCCCTTACAACATCTCCAGTATCGTCAATTACAACCTCAGTTGCGCCAACCATTGCTCCCGCCAATTTTGCTCACACCATCGTCTCCATCAACTAACAAAGAAAGCCAACAACAAACTTCGAATAACTCTTCCCTTGGTCAAATTTTGGGATTCTATCAACACGGATCTACAACCGGAAGTCAGAGCTCAACCGATCTAAATCCTCCAGGTGAAATCGGTACCGCCATGTGAATCCCCCTCCTATGAGATTAACTCTTGAAAAGTTCATGAATCTTGAAGAATCTTTCTTTTCCCTTCATATCTGATCAAAAGGATTAATGTTTCTTATCGCTTCAAATTTAATATACACGCAATCTGTTAACATAAATACTTGCTTATTATTTTTGGCACTCCGGCTCCCTCAAAGTTATGTCCTCCTGTGTAATTTCGTCTCTGTAATCCCCATGCATTATATATAAATCTTTCTTTCTGGTACATAATCCTCCAATCGTTGTGAATATTTTCGTCGACAGATCAAAGGAGAGTTAAATATATATATATATATAATCGTTGCCTAGATCCCAAAGAATAATCACATGAAAACATAACTATCTTGGATGTCGAGCATTTGTAACTGTCCAGTCTCCAGTCTGTTTCTGCTTTCTCTCCTCCCTATCCTCCTTGCCCCCTTTCTCTCTCATCTGAAGCATATTGCAGAACTTGAGAAAGATATGAGGCAGTGCTGGTTTTGAATGGCTGAAATCGAAATTATGAATTCATTTTCCTCGGCGAGATTGTGCCCCCCTTACATTCAATCATAGTCAACGAAGCAATTGACCTCAATAATCGCTTCAGTCATCAGTTCAACCACCAGAAAATTGAAAAAACGTGTAATATGACTTCAATCGGGGTTGACCTGTTATAAAAAAGATTGAGAATTGCCAGGAGGATGATTTGCCCTCTCAAGCTCTTCTCAACCGAGCCAACCGGTAGACATTGAACCCACTCGACCGGAACTTCCCAAAGACTAATTAATGGTTTTGAAAAGCAACCCATGATGGTGTGATGTTGGTTATAGTTCTGATGCTGGTAACACCACAGAACAGAGTTATGTGAGTGCTTTTGTTTGACCCTTTCAGGTTTTGAAATCAATCATTCTTCCAAATGAATGGAAGATCCTGGTGAAGTTTGAATACAAAAAGAATGTTCCAAATTTATCAAACATCAATGGCTGACCTTGTTCAGTAGGCCCAATGGGAGGAAAAGTCAGATACCATCACATAGGTGTAAATAATTTATACTAAGTGACAGGTAGCACATTTGTTAGAGAAAGACTAAGAACACCACATCTAAAGTGATGTTTTTGCTCCTGCCTACCCTTCAAATTTTCCTGCCAGTACAGTTTGTCATAATCTCAACTCTTCTTTCTGTTAAGACCCTTGAATCTTTCTCATTGCCTCTTTTTGTTGTCAACAGCCCATCCATACCACTTTTCCCCTTGTTTGCATGATGTCTATTCCGCCTTTCCATCAAAATTTTTGATGTGCTTGTCTTCCATTACTTGTCTACAGTGCTCAATTTTTGATGAATGGTTTTAATTTCCCTTCTCTTTCACATTACTAATTTAAATTTCCCTTTTGATGTTTTATTTTTCCTGTGGGCCTGTTCAAGTGGGACAGGGCTCCTTTCTGATGCAGGTGTGTGACCTTTCTTACTGATGATGAAATTTGCCATGTCATACACCCATACTCTGATGCATATGTTTACTGATTTTCCATGTCATCTTACTGATGTCACCCCTGAGTGAACTATTAGTTGTAAATGCATTGCTCTTTGCCATTGCAATCAACCACATTTCTGAATGTCTTGTAGTAATCTGCTTGAGCTGGTTTTAGTCTATACTAATTTAACATCAAGCTTTTGACTCTCATGCTCCTGAACCACCTTATTCACATTGCCAACATAATTTGCTGGGCTGAGGGTATTCCAGTTTAACTGGGATGCTTCCAACCTAGCCAATTGGGCTAGAAGGATCAATTACAGAAAAACAGCCCCTTTCATCTTGGTCCTATCTTGAACCCTCTTGACATATGGATGCTCCCAACCCCCAGTGTGGCAGAATTCACTGGCTAAGGGCAACTCCACTGCAGGTGGTAAATTGGGGTTGTAAGCCCCATTTACCACCCAACTTCCAAAACACCTTGCCACAGCAGGTGCTATATGGGATGGCAAACAATATCTCAGGTCCAAAAAATGTATCAAGCACCCCAAAAACAATCAGGACACCTGCTGACAGTTCACATGTGGACTACTGCTACGTAACTCAGAGGTTATGCCAAAGTTATTTCTTCTGCACAGTCACTGTGAAAAGTGCACAATGACTAAATACCACCCCAGATACCTCTTTTGAATATGTTAAACCACCCACCCAGCTAATGAGCCAGTGAATCCACTGAAGTGGTGGATGGAACAGAAGCATTCTGGTAACTCACACAGAGGCCTTGTGCATATGGTGCTAGACCTTTTAGGCTACCCAGGTAAGTTAAAATGTCATTTATTGAACTCATCCTATGATAATGATTGAATTTGACTATGTCTAACACATCTATCATATTCTACTTGAATGTTTGTAGCAACATCCGTGGATGGTGAGCAAACGTTCAGCTTTGGCCGGGATTACGTTTTGTCAAAAAGGCACTGACTCAATTCTTGTTTGATAAGTCAAGGTATGATGGTGGCCTTGTACTCCAAGAAGATACCTTGGCTGCATGGAAACAGGGACTCCAGGATAACAAGAAGTCAAAACAAGAATCAAAAGGGAAGGTGATAGTTTTGGACAACAATGAAGATGATGATTCTTCCGATTAGTTATAAGTTGTAGATAGTTTAAAATTTTTACAATAAGTTATTAAATATGAACAAATGAAAAAAGTGACTTGGGACTGATGTTTTACAATAAATATGAAAAAATAGAAAAGTAAGATTCTTTCAATTAGATGTAGATATATTACAACAGATATGAAAAAATGCCAAAAAAGTGACTTATGAGTGATATTTTACAATAAATATGAAAATAAATAATAATAATAAAGTGACTTGGGACTCTGTGAGTGAAACTAAGTGAAAAAGAGAGGGGAGGTACCTGAGGTACCTGCAACAGGTACCCTAGGTACCCATGGGAGGTGTCTGGTGCGGTACATGGTATCTGTTTTCTTGAAAAAAATGAACAGGTACCTAGGTCCGAACAAACAATCTCTATGGTGTCCATCAACAGGTTATGAGACCCTCTTAGTCTTGCTCTTACATACACTCACCTTTATTCCTCTTTGTCAAATTCTCACTATCCCTTCTGGTTGTTTGCTCAAACTCAATACCTTGTTTGATTTACATTCTAGTCTTTCAGATCAACCTCAATTGCACACACAAACTATGTCAGGATATTGCCAAATCCAAAATGTATCTGCTCTAATCCCCACAATTGAGGCTCTAGATGGAACCACAGCTGTTTTCCCCTGCTGGAAATCTTGGATTGAAGATGCTCTAGGGATGCAAAACACACTCGACATTGTCAAAGGTACCCTACCTTGTCTGAAAGATGAAACAAAAGACACTGCTCCATATTCTTGTCCTCCTGATGCCAAAGGATACAATCCAAAGGGTGCAAGGAGGACTGGGACGCCCTTTTGGATACGGCTTGCTCCCTCATCCGACTCACCCTGACTGACCCCTTAGCGCAGCACTACAGAAAGGTTAGGCCGGCATTGCGGCTCTTAGGGGTGAGGATGGGTTGGGTCGGGGCAAAAAAATGCCAACCCAACCTGCCCCAAAAATAAATGGGTCAGGTCAGGTCGGGTTACTCTTTCAAAAACTTCCGCCCTGCCCTGACCCAAGACCCACAACTTGGGTCATGGGTCAGCGTGGGTAGACCCATGGGGCTACCGTATTTTTTTTTTGAGGCAGAGGTTTTTCTTAGGTGGAGGGTTTTTTTTTTTTTTGGGGGGGGGGGCATGATGCCTTCTTCTTTGCATCATTTAACGAGTGTATATATTTGGAGAGAAAGATTAAGAAACAAAGAAAGGTGAATGGAGAAGAGAGAAAAATAAAAACTTAAGTTCTCCTTTTCAGCTATGTTCCTACTGTAACCTTTTTATCTCTTGATTTTATTACATTCTGACTTCAGAAATGAATTCCTCATGTGATTTTAACCTTAGTCACCACTACACAATTTTACACTACTCTTCTCCTTCATAGACTTTGTAATATTTCACCGTACCTTGTGAAATATCACCCAAGTTTGAATTCCAACTCTCTACCACATGACAGTGGGTGGACCGTTATTTTTGGCTGCCTGTTTTGGACCCCAGAGCTCCAAAAAACAGACTTGAAGTTATGAGACTTGTTCAGGTGGTGCATAATAGGTCCCAGAAAATGAATATGAAAAAATAAAAACAAAAAGTAAAGTTTCAAAATTGCTGAAAAATAAAGAATAAAACTCATATTTTTCAAAAGCTTTGATATTCATTTTGGGGGAGTGGGAGTGCTGAGAGAAAGAAAGAGGGGAACATGGGAAGAATGATTATAAATGAAAAAAATTGGAACCAAAAAGTGTTTGGCCAGGTTGGTTGTCCAGATTGGAGCCAAAACAGTAAATTCTAGTGCTTTACTGCAATGTGGGCTGGTGAATGCCCCAATCAACAGCTCTTTGAAGCCATCTGGAAAGCAATTTTTCCAAAATTTTCATTCATAATCATTTTTCTAATATTCCAATCTTCCTTTCTCTCAGCACTCTCAATCCCCCAAAATGAATTTCAAAGCTTTTGAGGAAAATGAATTTTATTTTTTCTTTTTCACAAATTTTGAAACTTTGGTTTTTATTTTTATTTTTTCATATTCATTCTTTGGGACCTATTCTGAACCACTTCACCAATTCTTGTGACTTCAAGTTTGTGCTTTGAAGCTCTGGAATCCAAAACAAGCAGCCAAAAATAATGGTCCACCCACTGCACATGTTGTGATTATGTAATCTGTTGAGTTTTTGGTGGAAAGGCCGGAGAAAAGTTACTTTTTGACTCAAGTTGGAAGGGCTCAAGTGCTTCACAACAGAGACTGAAGAAGGGCTAAAGTGCTCCTTCAGGAAAGGCCCAGAAAAGAATGAAGAACCGATAGCTGTAATTTCTTAGCATCTAGATGATGTAAGTAGTCTAGATACAATGTGGTCAAGATGTGGGAGCAGAATTTTGAATAAGGGACAGCAACGATAGTGAATAACAAATATGTCAGAGAAAAAGAAAGAGAGATCGAGTGAATTTTCAACATAATCCAACTCTGAAAATTCTCTCAGAGGATACTGAGTTTGCATTTTCAGGATCTTCAAGCTTCAGACCCACCCAGAACCAACTCAGACCAGAAATCACCAACATCAAATTGGATACTTCACCGCCGCATTATTGCCATGTTATTGTTTGGAGTCCCTTAACTATTGGAATCTTCCCACTCATTGTGTCAGGATCACCAATAAGTAAGTCACTCCACAAGTTCAGCTTGCATCTTTCTGCTAAGTTCCTTCTCTGTCTCTCTGAATGATTGCTTCATTCTGTTTCTACTAAACCTCTGCCTCAAACATCATCATATCAAATCAAGTCATCTTCATTATCTGTTTGGTGGTATAACTAAAAACCACATAGGTTTCCATTTAAAGACCCTTGATCTTAGATCTAAAAAATAGTGGCCGGATTGAAATATCAATACCAGGTACCCTTCTCAGTTTCATTTGATTAGGAGGTGTAGATTAATTCCGCTTAATAACAGCCATCCTCTGAGGAAAGTAAGACTGCATCAAAACTTGATCATAAAATAAATAAACAATTAAAATATTATTCATTTCATTTCTCTTCCTTTCTCTCTCCCTTTCTCTTATTCTAGTTGTATCTCTTTATCCCCTTGGAATACATCTAGAATTGCCCCCCAATCCTTGTGTCCTGCTGTCACTTTTGAGACCCAGGCTTACATACATTCTAGAGCCTACCCCACAGTGATTCTACTATTTTTAGTACAATTTCCAATGTTTTCTCTAGATTTTTTATGATACTAGGTGCTGAATGTGTGGCTTGTTATCAGCCAAGGGGGATGTTGGATTAATTAATCCTGTATGTAGTACTCATATGCCTATACATGCTTTTATCAAGCCTACCATTCATTACCACTGAGTTACCGGATCTCTCTTCTCTGACTCTTTCCTCACTGAATCAATACATATCATTCTCATTGTCAAGGTCCCACAGTGAGTATTGACCTCAGCCTCAGGTTCAGTCCCTGGTGTCCCTCAACAGTTATGATGAGTTAGAAAGAGCAGATAGAACAAGCACTGGGTTGCTACACTTTTTGCCCAAAAAGTGTTAGTGTAGTGGTCCTTTTTGTGCGCCGATTTTGCGTAGTGTTAGCGGAAAGTTAGCGACTTTTTGCTACGCTATGCTGCGCTACGGGCCACTAACCGCTGCTACACAGCCAAAACACCGCTAGCCAGCGTGTTAGTCCAGCGTAGCGGGCGCTTTTTAAGGGCCTGCACGTGTAGCATTAGCGTGGAAGTGGTGGAATTCTGCTACGCTATGCTAAAGTTGAGCAGAATTCCGCGACGTTATGCTGCACTAACTCCTACGGTTACGCGCTGAGCTGGCCTAGTGTTTATAGAACTAAGAAATGCAAGTT